TTCGCGCGCGAGCGGCTGCGTCCCGGGCAAGTTGCGTGGCCGCGCGGCGGGGCCACCTGGCCCGGACTCTCCTCAGCGACGAGGACAGTATTTTTACCTTTGGACGCTCGCTTTTCCTGTCTTACTCTCTTTCAGGATGGGATGGGAACATAGCGAGGGAACCAAACCAGAGGTTTTTACAAATTCTTGAAAAGTCAGACCGTTCGGATGCCGGGGGCTGAGCGTTTGGAGGTGGCTTCTGAAGTTTGCTTGTCTTTTGACTCTGAACGACCTTTATCCTTGGACGGTGTCTTGCACCTGTAACTGAGTGATGGGAAGGGTAGCCCGATTCGCCAGCCAGCAGTACCAGTGTTCACAGCCGGGCAAGGACTTTGTTGGTGAGGGTGCTCGGCGCCCAGACCACTGCCATTGTTTCTGGAAGGTATTGTGTGCGTGCTTTCAAGAATTCGGAAATGTCTCGGTTTTACGTGTGAGGAAGCCAGCCAGAGCTCCTGGGAAGGCAGGTAGCAGGCGGTATGTGCATCAGTGTTTATGAGTGTGGTGCGAGACTTGGGTGCAATTGCCTAGGGCATTCGGAAATTGGATGGGGAATTGCCTAAGTTACGGATCCCCCCTCCTTCCTCAGTAGCCCCAAGTCTGGAGATCATTTCGCGATACTTTGTTGAGCACACAAAGAACAAATTGAAAACGTGATTGTGAAAACTTGTTTGGGGGTAGCTAGAACGGTTCTTACCTGTAATAATATGAACGACAGAGAACAGGTTTATTTTTTCAGAAATACAGCTGATCAGTTCAGAAGGAACTTGTATACCTGTGAATATGATCTAATTGGGGGAACTGTCATATTAATAGCTGGGAGATGATCCAACCCATTAAATTATATACTCAATTTAGGAAAATAATGTATGTGTTGGAATAGGTTAGTTAGAGAACATTATGTGAAATGCAAGGAATTATATTTTTGCTAGAAGGTAGGTAGTCAAACAGGCACTGATCATTTAAAATTATCATTAAGCTGATTAGAATTCTGGGTATTACAGCTACTAGAGGTGTCAGCATAGACTGATTATCCAATATTCTTTCCTCTTTGGGGATTTAAACACCTGTTAGCTTGCTGATTACTAGGCTTCTAAGTCTGTTCTTATTTGCTAGCAATTTTAAATAATGCCACTTCATTAGCAGATTGTATTGGAAACTAAAGGATTTAAGTTGCAACAATTTGCAGATTATTTCACAATTGAGTTTTTTTTAACTGAATTTTATCTGGAGAGTGATTCATAGATGCTCAGCTCAGTACCCTTTGATGATGGTAATGAAATTGTACATTGATTAAAATGAAGTAGATTTGTTTTGAGAAGATAACCAAGAGTCAAAATAAGTATTTTCTCACTTAAGCATGAAAGGCAATCAGAATATTGAAGGCTAGGCATATTAGATAGACTCAGGATGTAGTTTTGTATTTTATACCAGAAATAAATTATTTTTGTGTTCTTTCTAAAGTACCAAGAGTACAGCAGCATTCAGATCTTTGTTAGAAAACCTAACAAACAAATGCACAGGTGCTGAATGTGCTTTGGGCCATTTTAGTCTAAACATTTATGCAGCCCTTAGACTAAATGCTGAAGAAGCGAGATATCAGTGTTAATTTAGCACAATAGGGACGCGTGTTTTGGCTTTGCTGCCAACTTACACAGGCACAAGATTCATTATAGTTCAGCATCTTCAAAGATGTATCATTTTCTACCAAAAAATAAAGTCATTAAACAGAAATAAACAGTCATGTATGCACTTCTTTGTGGTAGTGGTTTAATTATAAAAGCTCTGAAGCATGAAATGAAGCTGTGTCAGTGCAGTGAATGACAGTCGTCTGGCATGTTTATATGTGTTACTAGCATTCAGAGGTATGTGCATAACCAGATAATACAAGAAAAAAAAATACTATGGAATGCATAGTATCACCTTCAGAAATGCAAATGGAAATGTGCTTTACGACCCGTGGCCTAGATTAGCCACCTGGTGGAAGCAAGAAATGGTCCTGCACATCCTCACTTATGGAGGAGTAGACGTTACTTTGGCGGACTCACAGGAGGGTTCGTCTTTTCCTGTATTCTTAAGAGTCTTAATTTTATGAAGGAACGCTAGTCCTAATTTTTTATATAAGCAGCACAATATGGTCTGGAAGTAGTTACCATAGTCTTTGTTCTACCTGCAGAATTCAATTTATCAAGCATACCCAAAGATAGAAAACAAGCCAAGAAAGGCCCTTTAAAATTTTTGGATTAACATTTTATTTATGCCATTGAGAGTCAGTTTTTTGTCACTATATACGCCTGCACGGGCAGCCTAAAGCTACTTAAGCTTCCCTTTGCTCTTTCTGGGTCAACATTCTGTTACAATTTCTAGTTGCACTGTGATAACATGATTACTGGTTGATAATTTATCATCTAGTGCAGTGTGTAAGAATGCATTTTTATAAGAGCACATTTGTAAAGGATGATTTTTAAAAAATGATTTCTTTATTATCTAAACACTTAGGATTACATTTGTGGCTCTGGAGAAGAATGGGACCCTGAGACCACAGGGAAAAATGCTATAAATATTAGGTATTGTTAACTGACCTGCTGTGCACTGTGGGTATTGATCATAACCACTGTGCTGAGAAAAGGCACGGAGACACATGACCATGGACAGGAAGTGGTGTTTAGTGGCAAGGATTGTTAATAATGATTGATAGAGGTTGAGAAAGTACTGTGGGCATGTTCCATTTTTTTTGTGCTATCAGTTAAAGTGAGGGTAAGATGTCTTAAGCCCTTTTGTAAACCACAAGTGCTGGGCGGGGGCATTTATAATTGAGTGATATAAACATGGTACAAGGTAAATGATTGGTTTCATTATCTGCCAGTTATTTATAGTAGTTTTATAGTACAGTTTTGGACATCAGTCAATAAATGTTTGCCAGTTGTTTTCCATGTTACATGATGAAAATCATCCTGAACTCTTATGCTTGAGGAATTACTTGTTTTATAACTGCTATGATTATTTTATTTATAGCTCACTATATACAACACCCAAATTTTCTCTTGTGCTTTAGTTTTCAGCCTCTCTTTTTTTAGGGAAAAACTTATCTGTTAATTCCATAATGCTTTTAAAAAGGCTTATATTCCAGATCTTATTTAAAAAGAGTGATTTTGGGCCGGGGATTTAGCTCAGTGGTTCTGGCACTTGCCTTGCAAATGCAAGGACCTGAGTTCGATCCCTGGTACGAAAACAACAACAACACTGAAAAGAGTTATTTGGTTAATTTGTAACTCACCCAGAAAAATATTAAAAACTTAGTTTGTAATGGTGTGCATTTAAAACATGTTACAATCTTTTAATATTTCGCATTTTGGACTTTCACAGAGATGGTATGGTGGATAGAAAAGTTTGGGATCCTGTTGGGTGATTGATTGCTTATTTCCCTAAATGTCTTGTACTAGATCCCTGCTTACTTTATAATCTGTTGAAAGTGAAAACCAAAGTTAAAAGGTTTTAAGAAGGGAGATTAGTGTTCTTTGAGAGCCTGAGGGCTACGGTGATGAAGGGAAGGGCTGAAGGAAGACTCTCCTGGCTCTAATCATCTCCTAACACCTTGGAGACTCCCTGGCAATTACCAAAGGTCTGTTTACCTAGGTGGCTTTCTGACTGTGGTCACTCCCGCAGCAGGGATGCTGTTCCTGGTCACCAACACTCACTTTTCCTTCCAACTAAAATGTGACTCCCTGGAATTGTGGTTTACATGTTACTTTGAATGTTGCAAATAAAAAATTAAGGCCCAAGAGCAAAGGTTTTCCATATAGGTAATGTATTCTAATTGATCAGGTACATAATTAAGATAATCAAGACAGTAATGCAACTATAAAATAAAACTGTCTGTCTAAACTGTTTGATGTATTTGTTGAGGAGTTGTGTTTCTGAGTCCCAGTTGATTGTGAACCATCTTCCTCTCCTATAACTATAGTCATTCAGGGCAGAAACAACGTTTTACACAGTTTGTTCACTATGTGATGTGTCAGGCACAGTTCTATCGAACAGATGTTTACTCAAGCTCTTGAATTACAAATCTACCATAAAAGGTTTCTGTATGGTCTTATCTGGCATGTTCTCTTATTATATATTGGCTTCCTGAGACCATGTTTGGTATGATTGCCGTCATTTTGATTTCCATCTTTCTTCAATCAATCCTGAGATCAATCATTCCCTTACTAGTGTTTCCTGTGGGGCAGGCACTGTTCTAAGAACTTTACATTTATTCCTCATGAGAACCCTATGAGGGAGGGTTCTGTCGTTATGCTTATTTTATGAATAAGGAAACCAATGCGATTGCTTTCTATTATGTTAACCTAAGGGTGCATAAAATATACTGCCAGAATTCTGGCTTTATGTCCAGCAGTTCAGCCAGCTTTATTTTCTATTTATTGATATTTATTAAGTGTAGAAGTAATGGCACTGATGATTATGGTTGGACTTTTAAAAAAATCTTATTTTCTGTATTTTTTTAATGCAAAGAAACAAATTCTAAAGTCATAGAACAGGACACGTAGAGTATATTGGGATATGTACCAGTATTATTGTCTGTACATAGAAAAGATACTTCTGAAGGTAGTCGGTCTTTTCATTTGTTATATATTCATATATTGAAGGAATATACATATCCTATGGTGCTATATACATGTGAATATACTGTTTCTTGGCAATGTTTGTCCATTGGCAGTGCCTTTTGGGGCTCCTCAGCCTGGGCTCCCCTGTTCTTTCGTTGGCTACACCTGACCTGTCCTTAGGAGTACGTGATACTTTTTTCTCACTCTTCTTTCCTATACAAAGGAACATCCTTATTTTTAAAAAAGAATTTGTCAGGTTGTGTTTAAAAAAATACATATAGTGTAGCCTGTAAACTTCTGAAGAATAAGAACTGTGTCCTATTTATTTCCAGTACCAAAGAAATAGTGGGCAAAAGTATATGGTCCTTATTATATAATTAAAAGTGTTTTATTTTCAGCATTGAGGATCAAACCCAGGACTTTGCACATGTCAGGTTTGCACTCTACCACGGAGCTATGTCCCCAGACCAGATCATATTTTATGTCATGTACAACTGTGATGTTTTAATCTAGTTCCAAGGTCATTGCAGTTTTAACATCTTAGGAAACTGATTTAAGTTCCTTGTAGTAGCTGGGTGTGGTGGTGCATGCTTTTAGTCCCAGCCCTCTGGAGGCTGAGGCAGGAGGATTGCTGTGAGTTTGAGGCCAGCCTGGTCTGCATAGTGTGTGTGCTCAAGGCCAGCCTGAACTACATAGGGAGACCCTGTCTCAAAAAACCCAGAAGTTTCTTCTAGTAGTTTTACTTTAGTTATCTAAGTTTCAAAATGTATCATGAGGGCAC